GTTTTTCTTCACCCGTGGCTGATACTCCCGAGGGTGATAAGGCTAATCTTGGCAAAGTGGCTGTTCAACCCCTTTCTGCTCAAGTTGACAATACTGGCCCTGATGATACCGTTGCTGGTTCAGATTCAGCCCCTCAGTGAAAAGTTTTTAAGAAAATTAGAAGTGTTTTTGTTTTTATTTATTTGGTGGAACAGTTGAAGGTTTACCCCTGGTCCCATTTAGGGGTAATATTTTTTGGGAATATCATACCACTAGTCCATTTCGGGGTTTTTTGTGAAGACAATTAAGTTAGAACTAAGTTTATACTTAGTTTTAACTAAGTTATTAAGATACTATAATGTTTTTTGTTCAACTTTAAGGATATCTTTAATTTGAGTTTCTGTTTTACTCTTTTAGTGGTCTACCCATGCCTTTTTTCTTTATAAGTTTGGGCTTTACTTTCCACTTAAATTTTAGTATGTGGGTTTTTTTTACCCTTTTGCATTTAAAAATGCTTTATTTATTTCGTGACTTTTTGAATCAAGCACGAATTATAAAAGAGGGCCCTTTTATATACGACACTTAATGAGGAAGACGTCTCAACTCCATAATTGTGTAAACATACGAAAGAAGGAATAGGAACACACAGGTTTCGTTGAATAACTTTGAGAAAAGTTTTGTATCATTCGAACTTTCGAACTAAATAATACTGTACATGTATTTATGTATCATCTACAACTCTTTCATAATTGTTTTCTTTACAACAGATTTGTAAAATAAAAATTCAAGGGTATATCTTGACAACCCATGACTAAATATTTCCTTTAACCTAAACAGTCGTAAGATTTTAAAATTTATATCCACGAGTGTATTCTTCATAGGTTTTTGAATCAGGCTTGTGTTTTTAGCTCGTAGCTTTGCTCTGAACTTTTGATTTGTTGGCTAGACTATTTGTTGGGTAGAATTTAGGATTGACTTGAATTCTAATTGTTCCAGTCTTCTCTGCCTTCCTTATACATATATTATATGGTCCCCCAAGTGCTTGAGCTTTGAAGCATGAAATCTCGAGCACTTGATTAATCCTTTCACGCGGTCCTTTTCCTAAATAGGAAAAACATAGGGGACTCGGAGGTATAACTTAGATGAAGACTACTTAACCCTTTATATTACCATCAGAAAAGTTATAACCCAAGATCGGGAATTATGTTTCTTCCACGTGTCTTTCAGGTCTAATATCATCACTTGGCGTGGGCTAGCTTTTTGCCTATCATCCAAAATTGTTGGTATAATTTTAACTGTTCAAAAACAAAAATCGTAATTAAAGATACCTGACCGTAGGTATTTCCTTTCCTTAGAAATAGTACTTTTTTAGATGAACATCATTCCAACTCGAGGGTAGAACCTTGCCATCCATGGTTTCAAGTTCATATGCACCTTTTCCTGCGATACCTCGATCCTTGTAAGGTCCTTCCCAATTTTGACTCAACTTTCCATCATTGGCTACTCTTGTAGATTGAAAATCTTTCTTGAGTACGTAGTCCCCAATCATGAAGTATCTAAGACAAGCTTTCGGATTGTAATATTGCTCAATAACTTGTTTTTGTGCAGCCATCCTTATCAAAGCTGTTTCTCTCCTTTCTTCAAGCAAATCGAGATTTACCCGCATCTCCTCTTCATTTGACTCTTCGGTTGCTTGAGCGTATCTCGTACTTGGCTCCCCTATTTCAACTGGAACTAAGGCTTCAGCACCGTACACAAGTGAAAATGGTTTCTCTCCCGTACTTGTTTTTGTTGTTGTTCGGCAAGCCCACTCCAGGTAGCACCTCTGGCCACTTGCCTTTTTACTCCTCTAGTCTCTTCTTCAAGTTATTAATAATAACATTATTTGGTGATTCAGCTTGTCCATTAGCCATTGGATGATAAGGTATCGAATTAATCCTTTTAATTTGCCAACTTTGAAAGAATTTCGTGATTTTTGCACCTATGAACTGCGGGCCATTATCGCACACGATCTCTTTTGGAACTCCAAACCGACATATGATGTTTTGCCAGATGAAGTCTCTGACCTCTTTTTCTCGTACCTGTTTGAAGGCACCTGCTTCTACCCACTTAGTAAAATAATCAATGAGTACTAATAGAAATTGTACCTTGCCTTTGGCTTATGGTAGTGGACCCACGATATCCATCCCCCACTTCATAAAAGGCCATAGTGCAACAACTAAATGTAATAATTCTGCTGGTCGATGCATATTGTTACCATACCTTTGGCACTTGTCACATTTAGCCATAAAGTTTCTACTTCATCTCCCATTTTTGGCCAGTAGTACCCTACCCTAATTAAAGTTTTCACCAAAGATCTTCCTCCTGCATGATTTCCGCAATGTCCCTCATGTACTTCCCTCATCACATATTCCGTTTGAGAAGGTCCGAGACACCTTGTTAGAGGGGCGCCGGACATTTTTTGATATAGATTACCCTGATCTAAACAGTAACGAGCAGCCTTTCGATGAAGTGCCTGAGCTTTTTTCTTATCTTCAGGTAGTATTCCGTACTGCAAAAAACATACAATCTCGTTTCTCCAATCCCAAGTTAAATTATTGAAATTTACCTTATTTTTATCTTGGTCGAGTACCGAATGGAACAAATGTATTACAGAAGCATTCTCTTCAATTGTCACTTCTGCAGCGGATGCAAGATTAGCTAACGCGTCTGCTTCGGCATTCTCATCTCTTGGTATCTGCACATTTTTCCATGTTTGGAATTGTCTAATTAAATCCCGTGCCTTTTCCAGATATTGTTGCATCCTCGCCTCTCTAGCTATATAAGTCCCATGCATTTGGTTAACTACGAGTTCCGAGTCGCTTTTGATTATGACCTGCTCTATTCCAAGCTCTCATGCCATTTCTAGACCTGCAATCATAGCTTCATATTTTGCTTCATTATTCGTAATAGGATTGCATTTTATGGCTTGTCGTATAGTCTCTCCCGTGGGTGGGATCAGGATAATGCCTGAACCTACTTCTTTTACATTTGAAGAGACATCGGTAAATAAGGTCCAAGTACCTGGATTAGACCCGTTAAATACCTGCAGTTCTTTTTCTGCCTCTGCTACCATCCCTCAGCTAAATTTTTCCATAAAATCTGCTAAAACCTGTGACTTTATTGCAGTTCTAGGTTGATATGGGATGTCATATCCACTTAGTTCTATAGCCCATTTGGCTAACTTACCTAATAACTCTTGTTTATGCAATATATTACGTAAGGTGTAGGCAGTTACTACAGAGATAGGATGACATTGAAAATAAGGCCTTAATTTTCTAGATGCCATAATTAATGCCAATGCAAGTTTTTCTAAATGAGGATATCGAGTTCGACATCCAATAAAGACTTTCTAACAATGTAAATTGTAGATTGTTTACCTTGGTCCTCTCGAACTAATACTGCACTTACCGCCACTTCCGAAATAGTGAGATAGATGAGTAGTTTTTCCCCGTCTTTTGGTTTGGCCAGCAATGGTGGGTTGGACAAGTACGCTTTCAAATATTTGAGCGCTTGTTGACATTCTTCAGACCATTCAAATTGAGTTTGCTTTTTCAAGGCTAAAAAGAACTTAAAGCATTTTTCCGATGATTTGGAAATAAATCTTCCTAATGCTGCTATTCTACCTGTCAATCTCTGCACTTCTTTTTTGCTCGTAAGTATATCTGGTATTTCTTCAATAGCCTTAATCTGCGCGGGATTTACTTCAATGCCACGGTTAGAAACAAGGAATCCCAAGAACTTACCTGACGACACGCCAAATGCACATTTCTCAGGATTTAACTTCATGTTGAATTTGCAGAGAATCTGAAACGTATCTGACAGGTGTTGAGTATGATCACCTACTTGTTGTGATTTCACTAGCATATCATCTATATAAACCTCCATGGTTTTTCCTAGATGTTCTTGAAACATCTTGGTCACTAGCCTCTGGTACGTGGCCCCAGCATTCTTTAGACCGATTGGCATAACTTTATAGCAGTAAGTCCCCCTGTCTGTAATAAAGGAAGATTTTTCCTCATCTAGAGGATCCATTTTTAACTGGTTATATCCTGAATAGGCATCTAAAAAACTTAATAGCTCATGTCCTGCAGTAGCATCAATTAGTTGATCTATGTGCGGTAACAAAAAAGAATCTTTAGGGCAAGCTGTATTTAAATCAGTATAATCTACACAAACTCGCCACTTACCATTCTTTTTGGGCACTACTACAGTATTAGCTAACCAATCAGGATATTTTACCTCGTGTATACACCCGGATTTTAAGAGCTTTTGTACTTTATCCTGAATCACCTGATTCTTGAAGGACCCTTGCTTCCTTTTCTTTTGTTTGACAGGTGGATGTTGGATCTTCATTCAACTTATGGGTCATTACCTCCGGTGGTATACCTGTCATATCTCAATGCGACCAAGCAAAGCAATCTGCATTAGCTTTTAAAAATTCAATTAACTTTCTTTTCATCTCTGGGCTGAGGTTGGTTCCAATGTAGACTTTTTTGTCTGCCCAATGTACAAATAATACCACAGCTTCCAGTTCCTCGATTATTGTTTTGATGTTTTGATTTTCTTCTGGTTCTTGAATAGTATCAGCCCTTGAGTATACATCTGTTTGTCCGTCTACAGTTGAGGCTTGTGTTGCTAAATCCTCAACTGAATTCTGTAATTGCTATTTTTCGTTGCTTTTCGTGCTTGAATCTGCCATTGAGTTAATGCCTCGAGAAGTATGTTGATCATCACGGATTTGTCATATTCCCCATTGTGAAGGAAACTTGATAACTTTGTGTAGGGTAGACGGAACAACATCCATTTCGTGAAACCACGGTCTGCCGAGAATCATATTGTACGCCATGTCCATTTCTATCACTTGAAATTTGGTATCTTTGACTACTCCTTCCACGAATGTGGTGAGTATTACCTCCCCTGTTGTTACAACGCTCGAGTTGTCAAAACCAGACAAGGTCCGTGGTTTGGGTACCAATTTATCATTGGCTTGCATCTCGTTTACCACTCTTAACAGAATGATTTACAGAACTACCGGGATCAATCAAAACTTGTTTTACGTTAGTATCGTGTACAAGTAAAGATATTACCAATGCATCATTGTGTAGGGCCTGCACGCCATCTACATATGCATCATCAAATGTTATACTATCTTCTTCCAAAACTTGACGAACTCGCTTCCCGTGGGTGACTGTGATTTTTGACACCTTCTTTACTGCCGTATATGTTACGCCATTAATCTCCTCCCCTCCACTTATGACAATAACCGTTCTCTTTGGTGATGGAGATTTTGGAGGTTCTTGCCTATTCTTCATGTATGCTTGCTTTCCTTTTTCACTAAACAATTCTGTTAAATAACCTTGTTTTAATAGATGCTCTACTTCACCTTGTAGCAATCTGCATTCCGCTATTTTGTGACCGTGATCGTTGTGAAACTCGCACCAAAAATAGGGATTTCTCCTGTTTGGATTCGATCTCATTTCTTTTGGCCACCGTACCTTATCTCCCATGCTTCTTAAAATAGCCAGCAACTCGGATGTGCTAACATTAAAACTGTAACCGCCAATTTTTGCTTTTGAACTTCTATCATCGTCTCATGTATCTCGCATGTTTCGCTCCTTTCCTAACCTTGACGACAGACCCGATTCTTTGTCCCTTAATCTTGGGTCATATCTTGGGTTTTCGTGTTTTGAACATGAATCCCTTCTTGCTAGTCCCATATAAGGTTCGTACCTGTTTACTGTGAAAATAGTAATTACAATTAGATTTGATTTTGTGGTTCTAAAAATACGTGATCTATTTTTATGCTAGTCGTTTAGGCAATAGATGCTAAGTAAAAGATTAGAAAGCGAGATTATGTCTTAGAGACGATATGATAACCGAACCAAACGGCTGGAGATCGGGGCCTCGATCGTGTATGAAGCCTCGGGGTCGAGTTGGGTGACCGACTTAGAGCGATTGAGGGAGGCTAACAGTTATGAGAGCTGCCACGATGGCTCTTTATGAACAATGACAAGTAATAAATGAAGAACAATTAATAGAACAAAATAAATATAAGCAATAAATGGTGTAATGAGAGCGAGAGAATATGTTAGAGAGCAGAGAGAATGTTCTTGGGTATTTTCTATTGAATATCAGATGTCTGCAATATTACAAGGACCCCCTTTTTTATATGAGGGAGGAACCTAACATAGTACAAATGCATTTATTACAAAGCTAGATAGATGACACAGCTACCTAGTGATCTGGTGCAGACTAGTACTATTCTTGCAGGTGATGCCAGTTGGGACTACGTGCCTAGGGAACTTCCCGCTTACCCTCGATAACCACCCACTCATACTGCGTCGAGGTCGAGTCTGAAGAGCCTTCGAGGTCGAAGCCTTGAGCTGCGTCCCCGGATCTTCGGGGCCTTTTTGAGGCTAAGGGAGAGACGCAATGATCGCGATATCGGGCCTCCCGATCTCGCCCGTATACAGATAGTCCCTGTGTTTCTTAGAATGAAATGATAAGAAACGACCCCGAATTCCTGCCCCTCTGGTACTTCCGTAACGACAACAGTCATATCTTGCCAAATGATTGACACGATAAAACAAGGTGCCAAAAGGTCGCGTACACACAACCCTTAAAAGCCTTCGTATTAATTACAACGGCTGGTTGTCCTTTGGCTTCCTTTAACGTGCGTGTTGGGCCTCTATAAATACCTCTTCTCTCGTTCTTTATTGTTCACTGCACCACCAAGCCCTTAAAAAAGTTCCTTCTACCTTCACTTTTTTTCTTTCTTTGAAATGCAATTTCCTTTTCTCCTCTGAAACCTTTTAAGAATGGCGAAACCTTCTGCCGCTACTTCTCAGGAGAATATAACCTCCTCCTCTTCGCTTTTATCTAATGGCAAAGCAGCAATGCCTCCTCGTGTTGAGGAATGCATTCTGGGGTCCTTTGCAATGGCTTCCGGTTTCAAGGTCGAAAAACCTTCTTCGAAGCTGGGACGTCGTGAGCCAGTGTCTCAATATATTAGCTCAATAACGGAAATCGAAAGGGTGAGGACTGATTGCTGTTGGGGGGATGCGGTGCTTATAGAGGTCCCTTCTCAGGAGGAGGATGTTACAACATACAAAGCCGATTTTCTCAGTGTGTATACTTACCCATTGACCCTTGGGTCGGTGGGGCCATCCTTGCCTTCGATAGACCCCGTGGTTCTTGACTTCTGCCAACGGTATCGAGTGACCCCCGACCAAATTCACCCTTTGTTCTGGCGCATTGTCTACATGATCAGGTATTATGTGAACATGATTGGGAAAATGCCCTTCACCCTCGATCACCTGGTCAGGATGTACAGCTCCCGTCTATTCCGTGGGGGCCTGATTAAGCTCCACTTCTGAGCTTCGAAGGCCCTTTTTGCTTACATCGACGAAGTCGGGAACGGAGGATGGATGAGCCATTTTATCCAAGTGAGGACTTCGGACCTGATCCTGTTGGAAAGGATGCCGTTCCCCGAAAGGTGGAAAATGGAACGTAAGTAGATGCGTTATCTAGCATCTCCTTGCTTTCTTTTAGTTACATCTTTCCACGCGCTAATTTCTTCTACTGATGCAGCTGTAGGAGATTACCCCAGCGCGGTTATGTACCTCTCGGGCTGTCGGCCGGCTGGAATCGATTTGCCCATACGCTGAGCGAGTGCAGCGTGATCTCTCCCAAGCTCGATGGGAAGCCAAGGATCATGGTGAGCCTTTACTCCTGCTGCAGTCGTACCTTTAATCGGAATTGCTACCGATATCATCCTTACTCCCTGTGCTTACCTCTTGCATTCGTGTAGGTCTGGGGGAGGTCCCCTTGATGAAGGAAATATCACCTGGCGAAGAGGATACCTCGAGACCCGACGAAGGGAAGAAAAGGCAAAGAGAACCGTCGAATTAACCTACAAAATCCAAGAGGACCAAGGTTGAAGAAACTAAGGCCGACCCAGCAGCCTTAATTCCAGAAGCAGCAGGATGTCCCCGAGATGAAGGCGAGGGGGAATATAATTTTTTGATAGTGTCCGAGGGAGGGGAGAACCCGATCGACCCTCATGCCGGAGAGACGGTGGCTCCCGAGCCGGAGCTTGATCTCGTCGTGGTCCAACTTCGGGCTGGAGAGGCCACTGAGGAAGTGTTGGGTAACATCCCTGAGCCAGTTGATGGCCAAAATATCCCTCGAGCTGAGATGCATTCGGTAGGCGGTTCGGAGGAAACCAGCTCTAAAGCCCTTCAGGGATAAGAGACGACCCCGACTGACCCTATTGGTGTAGTTGTCGTGAGTGATTCCCCTCAGGGAATGACCTTACCTCCCAAGGGAATGCAAGACGCCCAGAGTGAAGAACCTTCTGATGTGGGGGTGCTCATCGGAGGCAGAGATGCGTTTGAAAGGCCTTTAGCCGCTCCCGAGGGAATCCCCGAGCTCGACGCTTTGCTCATCTTCAGCGAGATTAACAGGCTTTGTGAGCAGGTAGTTTTTGTAAATCCTGCCTGTCGTCTTGATCTTTATCTTTCTAACTTGTTTATTCTATGGCTTTAGGCCAGGGCACTTTATAACAGACTTTCGCCTGGTTTCAGGCTGAGGTGACCCGTCACGAGCGTGAGAAGACTCATCTTGTTGAACTGGTTACCTAGTTTCCGTTTGCTATTGTTTGAATATTTGCTAGATCCCAGTGTTTTGACATCTTTGATCTAATTTGTACAGTTTGAGAAGGAAGGTGCCTACTGAGAGAGGAGCTCTGAGCCAGAGACTCCAAAGTTCTCGAACTCAAACGGCACGTGAGAGAGATAACTTCTCAGAGGGATAGCCTACAGGAAAAGATGGCCTTAGTCGGGCACCATCTTCATGATGCGAGGGCGGATAGTGACAAGTATAGAGGTCTCCATTGTGAGTTAGTTGCTGCAATATCTGGGATCAAAACTGAAGCTAAGGCACTTATATCTTTGCACAAAGTGGATGTCGTTGTAATAGACGCTCAAGCCGGGAGAGCGCCCGAGGAGGCCGAATTGAAATTTACTCGAGCCATGGAGCATGCTCGGTTAGAATCTCAGAGGCGGACTCTCAAGGATATACACACGGGTGGCATCGATTTGTCTGCCGATCTCTAGAGGGTGAAGACCCTAGAGAAGAAAGTTGCGGCCCTGTTTTCTTTTGGAGGTGCGTCGGGTGGCAGCTTAGGAGGTGATGAGAATGAAGGCGGAATCCCCAGAGGGGAAGAGGTCGTTGAAGGTCCTGGGGCTGTAGCCAGAACCGTTGGGGCACAACCTCCGGCGGAGCCGCCAAAGATGTAGGCTCGATGATAGATTAGGGCTCTGTTCGGCTCCTTCCTTGTAATGGTTTTTAAAGGCCTTGTAAACATTCCTCTGTGAGCGATATGTATAAAAGGTTTCTCATTTTTATCACTTCATTTCTCCTTTGCCTTTTAGGAATAATGTGTGATTTTGATTTTTTGATAATCGATCCGAGATTTTAGACCTTGGGTTAGACCCTCGAGTTTTTGCTATTGCTGAGCGACTAGAAATGGTCGAAGGTCAGACCCCGAGTGTTCTCGGGTTAGACCCGGCTCTTATACGTTAGGTTGGTGCGACCATTGATTTTAGTGCTGGCGACAGTGGCTCTTACGCGTTGGGTCGGTATGACCTCTTGTATGGGCTGGCGACAGTGGCTCCTACGCATTGGGTCGGTGCGACCTTTTAGAATAAGCCGACGTTTGAGCTCTTATGCTTTTGCTCTCAGGAATGTTTAGTTAACTGTTTTGGGTACAATCTCCGAGTTGGGTGTCGACTCGAGCTCATTCGACCCTCAAGTTTTTGAATTTAATGCAGGCCCTTAGGCTCTTACGCGTTGGGTCGGTACGACCTCTGATTTTAGTTCTGGTGACAGTGGCTCTTACGCGTTGGGTCGGTACGACCTCTTGTATGGGCTGGCGACAATGACTCTTACGCATTGGGTCGGTGCAACCTTTTGTATGGGTTTTATGTTTCCCTCGTTAAGGAAATTTTTGGAATTGTGTTTGCCTGACTCTTCGACGGTTTGATTAAAACCTCGATGGTAAGTCGTTATATGGCGATGATCGAGCACCTCGGGAGGTTTGGCTCGGTGGCTGAGTATCTCGAAGCCTTATAGTTTGGAGCTGACATGGTCGAAGCTCTTTTGCCTATGTCGAGGGTAGCCTGTTTAACCGGTTCTTTTCGAAGTATTTTCGAAGTAATTGAAGGCCTATGATTTTATAGCGACGGTTGGGCGTCCCCAGGTCGCGTTAGTTTGGATGGTACAACCTTATGACCTTAGTCATTTGTATTTGGCCGGAGCCTTTCAGTCCCCGAGTGAAGTAGTTTCGGCATATATATCGAGGGTATGCCTTTTTAGGGGTCTTACAAGTTTGATATATAGCCTTAACTTTAAGATCGGGACTATGCCTTTAGTAAGGTCTTACAAGTTTTACATGCCTTTGTGGTCTTACAGTTTT